TGACGCAGGAGTACCCGCACAACCCCAACGGCTCCCCCGAGGGCATCGCCGCCCTCTGCTCGCCCGACGGGCGCCACCTCGCCATGATGCCGCACCCCGAGCGCTGTTTCGTCAAGTGGCAATGTCCGTGGGCGCCGCCAGAGTGGGAGGCGAACGCGTCGGCGCCGTGGCTCCGCCTCTTCCAGAACGCCGCCGCCTTCTGCGCATCCACGCAGTAGTGAGAGCGCGCGCCGACTCCCGCGAGTAGCGGCGGCGCGGCCCGGGCGGAGGGCTCCGACGGCGCCCGCGAGCGCGTCCGCGGCGGCCGCCGGCGGAATACCGCCGCAAGAGCTAGGCCTGTCCCGACAAATGGACAATGCTCCCCTGTGGGACCATGTCAACTAGCACAGGCGCCTGAAGTTATACCCCGCTAAATAAAAAGATGTAAAGATCACCCGCACGAGACTCGAGAGGCGCTAGCGTGTAGCGAGAGGTACACAGTGTGTAGAGCAAGGGGCAGCAAACGCGAAACGGCGCCAAGAGAGCGCGCGCAGCACAACCACAAAAGGCACCACCCAACACGCAGTGGTCACATGCGCATGCAGCCAATACGAAAACACCACTTGTCTCACCGCCGACTTAATGTAAAAGGAGTCGCAGAGAGCACAGAGAGAGAAGTCAGAGGGCAGTCTTGCTGTTGGCAAAATGATGATTCAGGAGCACAGGGAAAAGATAGTAGACCGCGGGAGGGCGCGACCGTCCTGCCTGCAGACCATCTTCCCAAGTCGGTTCTCTTTTTTCACGCACGGCGCGCAGCCGGCCGAGCAAGGGACGTAGCCGTCCGACCCAACTGTCGCCGCGTCGCCGATTTCGATGTAGAAGCCTCCACAGGCCTCCAAGTTGCCTAGTTCGCTCGAGGCTTGTTGGTAGCACCATTGGTCCCCTTCTGGGCCCGCCTCGCCAAGGAGGCGCTCTCCCGAGGGAGAGTCGATACACGGGTATGTGGGCGCGGCAGCAGACGAAGGAGGCGGCGGGGCCGGAAGCGGCAGCAGCGGACAGCTTCCTGCGTCCAGGACGCGCACCCGTGCAAGTGCGCCGGCTGCGGCGGATACGTCCTCAGCTTGCACGTCGATCATTGAAACGTAGCCCCTTCCTTGCTTCGCCACGCAGCATTCGTCGAGCCGGATCGGCTTCTGACCAGTGACGGGAGCGAGACCTTTGCAGCGGGGCCGAGCGGGGGGGGCGCCTGGCGGCGTACAGTTCCGGACGAAAGCAAACGCGGAACCGGCCACACTGGCGCGGCATCGGTAGAAAGTCAGGTTGGATAGGTGCATCTCGAGCTTTCGGTTTGTGGGGTCGAGTTCGTGTGCCCATGTCAAGTCCAGCAACCCTCCTCCCCGGCTCGCAGAGCAGTTCTCAAACGTACTGTCCTCCACCCGCAGTCCGCACACCGGCGGGCTCGGATAATTCTTCAGGTAGGAACGCCTTTCATGATGCGGGTGTGTCGCGATGGCACCGCCGTTCGCGCCCGCACGGCAGCCACGGATGCTGGTCTTGCGGATGGAGGCGTGGCTGTCCTTCCATATCATGAGACCGCCGCCGTCATTCACGGCGCGGCAGTCCGAAATATTCGAGGAGACAATGTCCGCGGATGACTTTGCGTGCACATAGACGGCGCCACCATAGTCGGCCGCGCTGCAGCCACGCAGTTGCGAGTCGTGGATCAACACACTGGAGGAGTGAAGTTGAATCGCACCCCCGTCGTCGCCGGCGTGGCAATCGACCACAGATGTGTCACGCAAAGCAAGGGAACCAAGATTTAAACCGGTCAACCCTCCTCCGTCGTCCGCTGCTGAGCAGCCGCGCACAAGACAGCGGTTGAGCTCTGCTGTGGATCTCAGGTCCACCGCAATGCCGCCGCCGTCATGAACGGCACAGCTCATCCCTGGAGCGGTGGGGTTTGCACATTTCGCGTCTGCATGGCAATTCTCGATGGTGGTGTCATTGAGCGTGGCGTGAGCGCGTCTGAGGTGTATGCCGCCACCCCGAGCAGCCGAGCACGCAGCGATTTTCACGCCCCGCAGAACCAATCTGCTGTTCGGCCCGACCACTGAGATACCACCGCCTTCCCCGTCTGGTTCCAATCCGTTCAAGATTGTCACGTCTATGAGGGTGAGTCGTGCATTTGTCTCCACCGTGAATGCACGTGATTTCCCCTGTGCATCGATGGTCGCCGAACCCCCGCTGCTTGTCAACATAACACGCAGCCCATCTGGCACTTGGATCGGTGTGCCAGAGAGACGAAAGCGCGGCGCGGAGAGAAGAATAGTTTGCATTGCCGAGGCCGGCCGGTTACGGCGATTTAGCGCAGCTCTGATGCAGCCTACGTCCGAGCAGGCTATGGTTCCCTGCTCCTGCTGCGGAGGCGGCGACGGCGACGGAGGCGGTGGCGTCGCTTGCAGTGGTGGCGACAGCGACGGAGGAGGTGGGGGCGGCGGCGATGGCAGGGGCGACAGCAAGGGAGGCGGCAAGGGCGATGATGCATTGCAGCCGTACACCACGCTCCCCATCATGCAGCGATAGGTGCCGGTCTCAGGATCTTTGGTGTACATGCACGGCGCGCAGCCAGAGCTGCACACGCCGTACTGCCACTGGATGTAGTGGTCCGCATCGGGGCTGTCAATGCACGGGTACGCGGGAGCGGCGTTGGGCGCCTTCGTCGGCGCCACCGTTGGCGCCGGCATCGTCGGACAACTGCCGGCACCGTCGATGGAGAGACGTTCCAGCACGTTGGACGCAGCGGGTAGATCCTGGCTTGCGAGCTTGATCAACGAAACACCGTCTTCACAGCATTCTACAAGCCGGATCGCTCCTCGGCCCGTCATAGGTGTGAGACTTTTGCAGGAGGAATCTTGCTTGGGGCAGCGCCGGGCCTCGAACGAAAAAGCGGAGCCAGCCAGAGTTGCACGGCAACGGGAGAAACTTAGGTTGGACAAAGCGATCTCAAGCTTCGGATTTTCGATGTCAAACCGATCAGTAAATGTCTCGTCGGAAAAGCAGCCTCCTGTGCTCGCTGAGCAGTTGTCGAACATGCTGTCATCTATCCGTATCCCACACTTCAATGGACTATCTGTTGGATGACATTCTGAAAACCCATGACCTGTGGTTGAGACGGCGCCGCCATTTGATTTGGCGTGGCAGTTTCTGAAACTCGTCTCTTGGATAGATGCGTAGCTGCCTTTCCACACGGCTACACCACCTCCACGGTCCGAGTGGCAGTCTGAAACCTTAGAGGCGACCACGTTTGCGGACGACCTGATATGCACATACACAGCACCCCCGGCGTCGACTGCACTGCATCCACGCAACTGTGAGCCGTGGACTACCAACCTGCTAGAGTGGAGCTGCACAGCTCCTCCGTCGTCGCCGGCGTGGCAGTCGACGATTGACGTGTTGCGCAAGACAATGGTAGCTTTGCCCAAACCGGTCATTCCTCCTCCATCGTCTAATGCCGAGCAGCCGCGCACGAGGCAGCGGTTGAGCTCTACCTTTGAAGACCTGTCCACCGCGATTGCACCGCCGTCAAAGCGTGCGCAGCTCATGCCATCACCGGCGGGATCATCGCCACAATCCCCCGTTGCTGCAGAGTCCTCGATTGTGGTATCGGTGAGCGTGGCTTGAGCATCCTTCAGGCGTATGCCACCGCCCCGCTCAGCCAAGCACCGAGTGATTCTCACCCGCTGCAGAAACAAGAAAGCTCTTGGGCCGTTCACCAATATGCACCCTCCGCCCCCGGATGGCTCCGAGCCGTTCAAGATTGTCACGTCTATGAGGGTGAGTCGTGCATTTGTCTCCACCGTGAATGCACGTGATTTCCCCTGTGCATCGATGGTCGCCGAACCCCCGCTGCTTGTCAACATAACACGCAGCCCATCTGGCACTTGAATCGGTGTGCCAGAGAGATGAAAGCGCGGCGCGGAGAGAAGAATAGTTTGCATTGCCGAGGCCGGCCGGTTACGGCGATTTAGCGCAGCTCTGATGCAGCCTACGTCCGAGCAGGCTATGGTTCCCTGCTCCTGCTGCGGAGCCGGAGGCGGCGACGGCGACGGAGGCGGTGGCGTCGCTTGCAGTGGTGGCGACAGCGACGGAGGAGGTGGGGGCGGCGGCGATGGCAGGGGCGACAGCAAGGGAGGTGGCAAGGGCGATGATGCATTGCAGCCGTACACCACGCTCCCCATCATGCAGCGATAGGTGCCGGTCTCGGGATCTTCCGCGTACATGCACGGCGCGCAGCCAGAGCTGCACACGCCGTACTGCCACTGGAGTGCGCCTCTTGGAGGCGCGTCCACGGGATCAACGTACCAGCTATGGCAAGCGCGGCGGTCTTCAAGCTGCGGCCGTTCGGTACCGGCCCAGCCGAGGCCCGTCCTGCTGCCGCGGCACCACTCGTTCCCGGCCTCGCCGCTGAGTCGTCGCCTACCGTTGAGCGCTTCAGGCGTGCGCATGGTGCAAGTCATCTGCCTGGCTGCCCGCCATAGCATGCCGCTCTCGAAAGCAGGTGAGACGGCAAAGGCTGTGCCACGCGCAGTCGGCCCAGTCCCTAAAGGTGGCCGCTGGTTGATGCTGCCGTCTTCGGCGTGCCTTTGGTCGGCTGAGGATAAATGCGTCGGCGGACGCGGAAACAGTGAGGGGATTGCCCCGACAGGCACAGGGCACCTTGCAGTCGCCAGCATGACCCAGAGCGTCCCGCTCCCCGAGCCCGAGTCCCTTCCAGCTACCGACGCGATTCTCAATGGCACTTGCAAATCCACGTACCCGCGGCCGCGGGCGCTCGCTGCCATCAAGAATCACAAGGACTGGTTCGCGCACCAGGAGCTCGTCAAGGCGCGGGATGTACACGTCAAGAACTACCCGTCCCTCGGAGACAGCGCCGTCAACAACCGCGAAGCCGCGCGCCTCGTCTCCGCCTCAACGCCTTTCGCCGGCAAGGCCATCGATGTCCGTGTCGACGGTACGTACGCTACCGCCCTCTCCTCCGACACCCTCCAGGACGAGCTCCACAGCGGAAGCTCGGCCTTTGGCTCTCCGCGGCGCTTCCAAATGAGATCAAGCTCTGGACGCCCCTCCTCAAGACCTCCTCGACGGGCGTTGGCAACGCCTCGAGTGGCGGCACGCCCGCCTCCGTCGGCCACTCCTACGCCTTCGGCAACACCGAGGAGAAGGCCCGCCGCCTAAACATGGGCTGCAAGGCGCGCGGGCAGCCCAGCCAACCCTTCTCCCACAAGACCGGCCACGGCTACGTCAAGGCGCATCGCGGTTTCTACCACGACGCGATCTTTGTCAAGCGCAACAACTTCAACCTGCTGCTCCACGAGACGTTCGGCGGCGGCTTCTCGCCCACCGCCGTTCTCAAGCTGCGCCGCCTCGCGCGCAAAGTCGCGCGCGGCAGCGTTGACCGCACGGCCTACTCGCCCAAGTACTCGCTCTCTTTTATGTCCCACCATGCAGAGCGCATCTCTCTCTCTGTTGTGCGAGGCGTGAACCGCGCCATTCGCTCTCACCTGGCAACCCTGCCTGCACGTCTCGCGCGCGCGTGAACAGGGCTCCAGGCCCCAAATGACGTGTGAGTGTTAGAGTTGTTTGGTAGCTGAGTATTTTGGAGAAGTTTTTGAGAGTGGTAGACCCAATTTTGATGTCAAACATAGAACTTTCAATACCGTACTGCATCTAAATTTATTCCTTGACCTGGCTCACAGTCATATCTTAAGTTACCTCGAGAGCTGACGTAGCGTACCCTACGGAAAAACCCTACCGAAAAACACCGAAACCAATCTGAGACGCGCCCAGGACACAGTGATGAGGACTCCCTGCTGTGCTGTGTCGGGCCGCTGCTCGGCGGCACGCGAGGCGCAGCGTGTGTGCTTCTCTCCACCTCCTCCTCCACCACCGCCCGTCGCCTCCCTTTCCCCCCTCACCGCCGCCGCCGCCGCCGCCGCCACCGTGCGGCCGCCGCGCCTTCCGCCCCCCCCCCCCCCGCTCTCGTTCCGACGCTCCACCGCAGTCGCTACTTTCCTGCTCGGCGGCACGCGGCACGCGAGGCCAGTCGGCTCCTCTTCGCCTCTATCACCTCGCTCCACCCGCCACCTCCACCTCCGCCGCCTCCGCCGCCTCCGCCTCCGCCGCCGCCCGCCCCGCCCTCTCGTCCGGTGTTCCAACCTCGCAGTCGCGCTCGTCGTCTCGCCTCGGTGCCTCGGTGCAAGCATGCGGTGAGAGAGCGTGATCCATATTTGGCGCCGGGTGTCACTCGACTGCGCCTGCCCGGCCCGGCCCCGCCCTTCGCTTCCGCTGCCAACCGCAGTTGCAAACAAGCCTCCGGGCGGCTCCTTCTTTCGGCAAGTGGCCCTGTGTGTGCTTCTCTCCATCACCGCCCGTCGCCTCCCTCTCCCCCCTCACCGCCGCCGCCGCCGCCGCCGCCACCGTGCGGCCGCCGCGCCTTCCGCCCCCTCCCCCTCTCGTTCCGACGCTCCACCGCAGTCGCTACCTTCCTGCTCGGCGGCACGCGGCACGCGAGGCCAGTCGGCTCCTCTTCCCCTCTATCACCTCGCTCCACCCGCCACTGCCGCCTCCGCCGCCTCCGCCTCCGCCGCCGCCCCGCCCCGCCCCCTCGTCCGGTGTTCCAACCTCGCAGTCGCGCTCGTCGTCTCGCCTCGGCGCCTCGGTGCAAGCATGCGGTGAGAGAGCGTGATCCGTATTGGCGCCGTCTCTCCATCATCGCCCGTCGCCTCCCTCTCCCCCCTCACCGCCGCCGCCGCCGCCGCCGCCACCGTGCGGCCGCCGCGCCCCCCGCCCCCCCCCGCTCTCGCTCCGACGCTCCACCGCAGTCGCTACCCGTCCTGCTGCTCGGCGCTGCCGCACATGAGGCGATGATATGGTCGCGCCGCACCAACCCCCCACACATAGCTCCACGACTAACTCCCCCCCCCTTCTGCCTGTAGGTTTGATATGGTGACGGACGAATGGTGACGGATCCACGATGACACCGACAGCCGCACAGCACCTTCACCAACGCACACTGCCATCCCGAAGACCGCCGCCACTCCTCCTGCCACCGCTCTCTCCTCCGCCGCCGCCGCGGCGCCCGTCCCTCGCTCCCGCGCTCCAACCGCAGTCGTCGCTGCTCTTCGTTCTGCTGCTCGGCGCGGCCGCACACGAGGCGATGATATGGTGACGGATGAATGGTGACGGGAGCCACGATGACACCGACAGCCGCACAGCACCTTCACCAACGCACACTGCCATCCCGAAGACCGCCGCCACTCCTCCTGCCACCGCTCTCTCCTCCGCCGCCGCCGCGGCGCCCGCCCCTCGCTCCCGCGCTCCAACCGCAGTCGTCGCTGCTCTTCGTTCTGCTGCTCGGCGCTGCCGCACACGAGGCGATGATATGGTATGGCGACAGACAGACAACCCACTGACGAGGCGATGATAAGGTATGGAGACAGACCGCACCCTATTCTTGAACTGTGATGCGCCCGGGTCTCTTCGCGCCGCGGGACCAGCTCGGACACGCTCCTCCACCGCACGCCTCTCGACCGCACCCTATTCTTGAACTGTGATGCGCCCGGGTCTCTTCGCGCCGCGGCGCTCCTCCACCGCTCCACATCTCGGACCGCACACTGCTCAACTGCCTTCTGCAATGCGCCCGGGTCTCTTCGCGCCGCGGGACCAGCTCGGACACGCTCCCCCCTCCTCCACCGCTCCACGCCTCTCGACCGCACACTGCTCAACTGCCTTCTGCAATGCGCCCGGGTCTCTTCGCGCCGCGGGACCAGCTCGGACACGCTCCCCCCTCCTCCACCGCTGCACGCCTCTCGACCGCACACTGCTCAACTGCCTTCTGCAATGCGCCCGGGTCTCTTCGCGCCCCGCGGGGACTAGCTCGGCATGCTCACTTCTCGCAATCTGGCACACGGAGATTCGATGACCATGGCAAACTGGAACACACAGCGAATGGAGACAGCGGCTCAGAGCACGTGTAGACTGCCATGGCGAGGCGCTCTCTTTTGTCGACGATGCTCACTTTGCCCGTGCCCAACCCACTCCCCGGCCCAGCCACTCCCCGTGTAGACACAGTACAGAGGGGTGACGGGCACAACACACATGCCCGTCACCCCCAACCCTTCCCGCTGTCAGCAGCGCCTCACGAGGCGCCGGGCTGCAAGGTCACTCGAGATGACCCGGCGGGGTACATGTTAGTCTCTCGACGTCCTCCCACCCCCGTTTCACGGTTGGCTTGTGTGCGTGGTAAGTCTTTTGTTGCCCT